GAGGTGAGAGAGAAGTGTCTCCCGCCTCCAAAGAGGTAATACAGGACTTCCCAAAATCCTCAGGAGAAGGCCATGTCCACCCAGAGGCATCATTGGTTATACCTTGATGGACAGGCCAGACTGCACCCCTTCACTCATAATCCTCTCAGATTGACACCAGATTATGTAACTACGACAGCCCCTATGAGCCAGATCCAATTCAGGGGCAGTGAGTTTGAATTTTTTTGAGTGTCAACAGCTGATCTTAAATGGAAATATCTTAAATAAAAACAGGACAGTCTCTTTAATGATGGTGTTGGCCAAACTGGATATCCATCTGCAGAAAGAAACAGGCTGTGAACAAGACTCATGAGCAAGATGGAAGCCGTTGCATCAGCCATGTTTAAGTATAATCAATGTTGCTGTACATTTATCACGATATGTTTTGATATTTCCAAGGGTTCAAACAAGAATTCATGTTAATTACTATTTGAATCCTACTTGAGTCTAATTGACCCCTTCTCAATCCTTGTATAAAATTGGAAAAAAAGAGGTCAAGATAATAAATTATAAAAGTATTGTATGTACTTATTATGTCTTACATTAACTTGTGTTTTTTGTAGCCTGTCGTGTATTTTAAGATCATTTTAACATTTTGAAAATGACAATGGCAACATATGTAAAATTTGCTTGGTATAATTGATTTATGTATTATTGTAATATCTGTAAGAGCCCCCAATAAAATGATTAAATTTTTTTAAAGATTCTTTTTAGCCCATTTGCAGGAAGTAAGACGACACTCTCTAGTCCCATGAAGAGTTGTGCTCTCTGAAACGCACAGGGGCAGTTCGACCCAGTCCTATAGGGTCATGTGAGTTGGAATTGACTTGATGGCAGTGAGTTTAGGGTGTGTTTTTTTGAGGGGGGGTTGCTTGTTTGTTTTGCATGTAATAAGTGATTAATATTGTTAGAAAAATAATAAAAAGAAGAAATTAATATTGTTAGAAGAAATCCATAAAGATATCATTGGGAAATTGGGATTATCCAAACATCAGTAAACAGCTTTTGTTGCTATCAATACTCTGTTGGATAATCTAAGTGAGATATCAACTAAATTCATGTGGAAGAAGCCCACCATTATCCGTCAATGATGGATTGTAAATCACATGAGCCGAAGCCGAAGAAGGGATGAGTATCAGAGCCTAATTGTGAGCATCTGGTTTGCAGGCTATGGAGTGAAGTGGGAGCCCAGGATACATTTGTGGGAACTACATAGGAAGTAAACCTCCCGTGAACTCCCTCCGTCTGTAACTGAGGGATGTGAGGAAAGGGGCTACTGAACAGAGTGCACTGGAGAGGAGTATAGAAGCTCAAAGGGATAAACCTGACTTGAACAGTTAAAATCATGTCAGTTCACACACACACACACACACACACACACACACACACACACACTGTGCTCCATGCTGGACATGAACCAACATTTTCTGTAATTTTTGTTTGGTGGGATTTTGTTTCTTCATATTAGAGTTTATCTCGGATGTGTTATGTCATTGGGGTCACCCTCGTGAAGCTGTGTGATGTGCTGTATTCTGGTTTGGGGTACATGAAAACTAGGATTGATGGAACTATGGGAACAGCAAGTAGAATATGGTTTCTTAGGGGGCAGTGGAGAGTTAGTCTGGGTTGACTGGAGAAACAAATCCAGAGACATTCATATATGTATAAGAAAGAGCTTATATAAAAGAGTACTTGTATATTAAGAAAACATCCCAGACCAGTCCAGATCAAGTCCATAAGTCCAATACTAGTCCATAAGTCTCTCTTCAAACACACGCAGCACATGCAATGATGTAAAATGCAGGAAGATCACAGGCCAGTGGATACAAAGTTTTGTGGCTCCAGTGGTGGTGGAAGCATCTCCGGGGGTTCGTAGGTCTCAGCGTGGCTCCATGTGGCTTGTCAACAGGAAGGTGAAAACAGAAAGAGGAAGTTCCCAGGACCCTCCTCATGAGAAGGTCATGCCCACAAAGAGGCATCATCAGGCTGTGACCTGATTGACAAGCTAAACTCCACCCCTTCGCTCTATTTATCAAGTTGACATGAAATTATGTAACTACCACGCGAGTACAGTGGTGGGGGTGTGGGGGTGGTAAAAGGGAGTTGAGGAAGGAAAAGAATGTTTGCAATTGGTAGCAATTGGACACTACTGCTTGATGTGATTGAACTATGGAATGATATGATATATGTATTAACTCCTAGTTAAAAATAAATAAACATGTTAATAAATAAATAAAATTTTATTAAGGCTTTTAAAAATATACTCTATTGGCTAGACTCTTAATAAACCAGTTTCTTCTTTCTCTGTTCCACTTGAAGTAGCTATTAATTAAGCTCATTACTCCTAGACACTGACCCAATATTTGGGGTAACAGTATCTCACACCATATACAAAAACAAACTCAAGATGGATCAAAGTCCTAAATGTAAAACCTAGAACTATAAGAATCATCAATGAAAAATAGGGACAAACTTAGAGGCCCTAATATGACATAAATACACTATCAAACATCATGAAAACCACACAAGCAGCGGAAAACAAAGTCGATGATTGAGACTTCCTAAAAATTAAACACTTATGTGGATGTAAAACTTTCACCAAAAGAGTGAAAAGGGGACCCACAAATGGGAATTTGGGGTAGGGGCAATGATACATAGAACAAGGGACTAATCTCTAAAATGTATAGAAAACAACACCTCAACAAGAAAAAACAAACAAACATTGGGGGGGGGGGGAAATCCAGGTAATCCACCATACAAATAAAAGGGGGGAAAAAACAACAACTACATGATCATATTAATTGATGCAGAAAGGGCATTTTACCAAATCTAACACTCATTCCTGATAAAAATTCTCAGCAAAATAGAAATAGAAGGGAAATTCCTCACCATAATAAAGGCCGTAGCTACAAAACCAAAGGCCAACATCTCACTCAATGGTGGAAACTTAAAGCATTCCCCTTCCACACTGGAACCAAATAAGGATGTCTTCTATCACCACTTTCATACAATGTTGTTCTGGAAATCTTAGCCAGGGATGAGACAACAAATACAAATTAAAGCATCCAGAATTGGGCAAAGAAGAAGTTAAATTCTATTTTCAGACTATATAGGTTTATACATAGAAATCCCAAAGATTCAACAACAACAAAAATTGTTGGAAATTGAAAGCAACATGCCAAGGTACAAGATCAATATACAAAAATCAATCAGATTCCTGTATACAAAAGAAGATAGTTCTGAAAAGGAAATCAAGAAAGCAATACTGTGGTAAGAATTTCTTTTTAAAAGAATACCAACCCAGTCCTAAGGAGTTGGAGATTAAAGATGCCTCAAACTCTTCCAACATGCTCTTCTGTCCTATTTTCCCCTACACCTCCTTTGAATATATTCCCTCGTGTTCTTGGGTTCTGGGACTCACTGCAATGTCCCACAGAAACTCACAAAACTTTGAGGAAACCTCTCACATGGCAGGGGGTGCTAGTCAGTCGCAAATCATAGGTCAGGCAGAGGTGAGCCAAATGCAGGGTGCAGAGCCAGAAGCCAAAAATGTCCAAAACTAAGTCCACATGGAGGAAGCACACCAGCCTGTGTGATCATGAGGTGTTGGTCAACAGGATCAGGGATCAGGGATCAAAAGATCCCAAACAAACAATTATATCAATGTGAATGACAGTGGGTTGGAGTGGAGACCCAAAGCCCATCTGTAGAAAATGTACATCCCCCCAGAAAAGGGTTAAAGAAAGGGACAACTCAACCAGGGTGCAGTATAGCACCCAAAAAACATACATCATTCCTCTAGTTCCTGAATCCTTTCCCCACCCTCCTACCATGACCCAGTTCTACCTTACAAATCTGGCTAGACCAGAGTACACACATTGGTACAGATAAGAGCTCTTGACAAATGAAATTCAAGACAGATAAACCCCTCTAGAACAGCAGTGGGAGTATCGATATTATGAGGGGGAGGAATGGGGGGGGGGAGAAAGGGGGAACCTATCACAAGGTTGATATTTAGCCCACTCCCAGGGGAGTGAATAACAGAAATGTGGGTAAAGGGAGACAACAGACAGTCTAAGACACGAAATGACAACAATAATATATCATTAATCAAGGATTCACGAGGGTGGGAGGGTGGGAGGGTGGGAAAGGGAGAGAGAAAAAGGATTGCTAATACCAAAGGTTCAAGCAGAAAGAAAATGAAATTCCATGATTTTAAAAATAAAAAATTTTAACATAGAAGGAAAATGTTGATGGCAGCATATGTACAAGTGTACTTAATACAATTGAATGATGGATTGTCATAAGATTTGTAAGCGCCCCCCCACTAAAATGATTAATTTTTTTAAATGTCCAAAAGGCACAAGTCTTCTTGCTTCTATCAAAGCTTAGTCAGGAAGCAGAGGTATGGCTTTCCAGGTGATGTGATGTGTGTGAGAAATGTATGGTGGTTTCAGTAACCCCATCTAAGGAAAACAAAGGATGCTGTCTTAAGTCTCACCTTCTACCGAGTAAAGGGATTCAAAGATACTCTCATCTTCATGAAGAAATCACTGAAGATATGAGAGTTATAGCAAAGTGTGGCAAAGAAACCAGATGGTGCCCGGCTATCAGGCAGAATAGCGTCTGGAGTCTTAAAGGCTTGTCTTCAAACAAGCAGCCATCTAAGGGAGGCGTCAACTAAGTCCACGTAATTGAAGCGCGCCAGCCTCTGTGATCCAAGGAAAGCTGAGAGACTACGGGGCCTGGTGTGGGGAGGTTCGTGCTCATGCACAATACCAGAGATACGAACACCCCTTCGGTACATTTCAATTGAGAGACAAAGAAAACAAGACGAACTCGTTTTTTATACAATGAAATATTCATTACCAAACACCCGACTCTTCCTGACACAGTAGCTCCTTACTCCATTCCCTTTTTCTTGTTCCAAGTTCCGCGTGTGGAAGAAAGCTAGTCAGCCAGAACTATAAGCATGCTTTATTGCAACTCAGAATGATAAACAGGATTGCAGAGATACGAAAGAGAAGCCACCAAGGATGCTCCAACAGTAACATTTCAGAGTCATCAGGAGAGGGAACTCCCTACTAAAAATGCAAAATAGGAGTGCCCTCCCAGTGTTGTTATTATCTATAGCAGGCACTGAGGGCCGGTGGGGGGGGAGGGGGCGGGACACCCCAGATTCAGAGCACAACTGAACGACCCGGCCAATGCATGATCAAGTTCTCCCTTCAGGTGTCCTGACAAGTTCTAGTTAAATCATACTCCTATGGCTTCTCTCGGTCACAGTAGTAGTAAGTAAGAATATCAGGAGGAACGAAAAGCAATGGATTGGTCATACCAATCCGGGAGACCCGTGTTGCCCCTTGAAAAGGCTGGCCGTGAAGGTCCGGATTAATCTGCACTGGGGGTACTGTTTTCCTGCATAGTCTTCTTTATCCAACCAAGATAGTTCTTCACTTTGGTGTAGAGCCCATAAACCCCACACTGCTTGGGGCCCCAGGACACCAGGCCAGCTACATAAAATTTGGGGGTCCCTTCATTGGGGTCTTGTATAACAAAGGCCCCCCCACTGTCCCCTTTACAGCTATCAACGCCCTTCTCACCCCCAGCACAGATCATGTTATCAGTGAAAACATAGGTCCGCATATCTTCCACCCGCATCCCCTTGCAATTGTGTAAAGGAGCGATGGGTAACTTTGCCCCATGGATGTAGGCAACATGGTCTTTTGTCTCTGTTCTGCCCCAACCTGAGATTAGCCCCAAATCTCCCACTGTGGGGCTATATTCTGGGGTTGTGCCTGGCAGGCAGATGGGGGACACAGTGGGTCCCATTTTCACTGGGTCTTTCAGTCTCACGAGGGCAATGTCATGGTCATAATTCTTCCGGGCTTCTGGTACATCCAGGAATTCCCAACCAGGATGAATAATCACTTGCTCCGCAGTGAGCATCTGGGCATCTTCCAGATGTGCGGTGCGCACTGAGGTGGAACCAACATACATTTTGGGGTCCTGATTTTCCTCCACAACATGGGCCGCTGTCAGCACCCAGTACTCATCAATGAGAGCCCCACCAGCCCGTGGACTCGCGAAGAAAACTTGCCAGGGGAAATTTTGAATCTCTGCACGGACTCCTCCAAAGATCCTCTGTTTTCCTGCAAAGGTCTTAGTGGGCACTCCGCAGACTAAGGAGGAACAAAAACAAGACGAGGGAAGAGCAAGCAATCGATGCTGGTCTCCTGCAGACCGTCACTCATGCAGAGACTTTTTCCCTGCAGCGGCAGCGAAGTTCACTTGTAGGAGATAGCCCACCGTGCACTTCATTAGCCCATCTCAGTACCTGACTCATCTCGACTCTAGTTACGAACCCAACATCCCTCTTCGGCCACAGGCAGGCTCTGACGGGAGGCTAGTTAAACCGATGCATCCAAATAAGCGAGTGCCTGACACTGTTGACAGCTTGAGTGGGTCCCTTTAGGGCACATTCGATCCTCAAGGGAGCCAGTGCTCAGAAGACAGTCCCTGGCGGCTGTTTCCTCACACCGGTGCAAGAGAAAAGCATTTTACCTCTTTCGGATGCCCACATCAAGCCTCATCACCTATTTGTAGTTCTAACCCATAGGTCAGCCTACAGAAGAAGGTCAAGGAGAGGCCCTTCTTTGCCCTTGGCCTCTACTCCCCCCTGACGGGGTGCCCAGGACAATCCTTTTGCCACTATCAAGTGCAGCTGAAATGGAATTGGACTTCAGGTGGAGTTGCCTTACCTAAATCCCACACGAGTCAGCCTGAACAGACAAAGCACTGAACAGATGGGCGATGGACTCGGAGAGACCTCGGTTCGAAGCCTGATCCTGGCCCCGACTAACTCGGAGTTCTTGCTCTCATTCCCTCATCTCTACCCTGCAACTGGTAACACTTACCTCACAGGGCTGTCACGGACTTGAAGGAGATGGTGAACACAACAACTGAAGCAGTCCCTGGCTCTCAATAGCCCTGTGGCTACCACCAGAATCTTTCCTCGGGGCTTTGCCTTCTGTTGGTCTCTGATCTGCCTGCAACCTCTCATTTGCTTTACCCCTCTGCATCTTGTTACCATGTCGATTTGAATGTAACCACGAAGCTATTCAGCTAGTTTTGTTTCTGAGCGTCGACTCCTCACTCCATGGTTTTGGTAAATCTCCATCCCCTTACTGTCTCTACATCACCAGCCCCGTTGTCCCTGACTCTGACGCCAACTATCCTCGGCTTGCTTGTCTCTTTCCTTTCAATCGGCCTGACCCAGGGTGATGGAGGGGATTCCTCGAGACCTTGGTAGGCCCACTTCCACCTCCCAGTGTGTCTCCACGTCTTTCTACTGGACTCTGACAGGTGCAGGGCTGTTAACTCCTTCCCCGTGAAGACTACAGTGGCTTTCAGAAGGTGATGCCCCCACTCACCGGCACCTGTGCCTATGGTTTGTACACAGCCCTGAGCCCTGCTCACCTGGAACACATTTCGGCAGCGTCACGCCCAGCACATCATTCACCCAGCTCCCGTTGCTGGAACAGCGGTACTCCCCTGCAGTAACACAAAAGACTCAGGACACACTCACCCTTGCATCCTTCCTCTTCCATGCCATCCCTTCTTTCAGAGCCTGCGCTCCTTGGGGATGCAAGAAGGAATCATCAAATCAGCCAGAAAAGAACCCTAAGAACGTCTCAAACCAGCAGCCTTGCTGTCATGCGGAGTGCATTGGGAAACGGATGATGGCAGACATGGCTATAGGTTAACATCCAGCACCCTGCCATCTGATCTCCCTTTTGACCCATTTTAAAGTTGTTTTAGTTTTTTAACATTTTCTGTTTTCTTTTCAATTAAGGTTTTTCTCTACGTCGTTGTTATTGTTGTTAACTTTTTTTGGTTTTGTGTTTGTATGTTTTTCAGTATATGAAATCCAGGATAGGTGAATCCATAGAGAGACGATTAATGGTTTCTTGGAGGGTGAGAGGAAATGAGGTGCTGATAACAGTGAGTACCAGGAAGAAGGAAATTTCTACAATTGATGGTGATGATGGTGGTACAACTCTTCTTAATATGCTTGAATTGTATGCTAGGTGGATTAGGTGCCAATAAAACTCTTTTTAAAAAGAGAATACCTCAAATTAAAATGTAGCTATCCCTCTGGATTCTAATCTGTCAGGAAAGGGCTCAGAAGCAGGAGGAAGGACATCCAGTACAAATGGAGAACATGCTACGAGCAGGAAAATAAAATAAAGGAAAGGCACGAACAATGGAGTAGGATAGAGCGAGCCTCATCCAGCCCTCGGGCATCCACATTGGGAAAGCACGTCTTCATAGCAGGGTCACCTGAGACTGAAAAAGCATGACTCCGATGGCTTTTACATTTAAATGATTTTTCAGAAGCTGGATGGCTACAGGACATGGATATTGTAGGGGTAATTCCTGTCCGAGCTGTGAGGTGAAGCTAAGTGGCCTCTATAATGGCTGGTCTCAAAGACCTTACTCTGCCCCATAAGAAAACTATTATCTTTAGCCTAAGCCAAAAGTATGGACAGATATGTCTCATCTCTATTTCTCTATGAACTCTCTCCGACCCAGAAAGATCATGTTATTCACCCTGTAGCCTCCTCGCTCCTCTCCGCTCATGTTATTCACCCTGTAGTCTCCTCGCTCCTTTCCTCTCTTGCTTTCCTCTAGTAAGAGTAACCTACCACTTCCGTCGTTGTCCATGGTGTAATATGGCTGCTCACAAGTATAGCGCGTGACAGAACCAAATAGAGTGGCTCCTGGATCTTCGGCTTTCCCGTGCTGAATGGCTTCAGGAACACCACAGTCCACAGCTACAAGAAACAGGCAGGAGACTGACGGTCAAGACAACCCTCCCGGAAAGAGTCCTAGACCCAATTCTACCCTCCCAGCCATGTTCTGCACGCCTTCCTCACCCCACATAAACTCATCCATAAACACGCATGGGAATGAAGCTCCCTCACCCCTTCCTCTGTGTGGCCCGACCAGCTGGCCCCACTCAACTCCTCAGTTCTCTGAGTCCTGCCAGTTCAGATGACCCCTTCCAGGCTACAAGGAGGAGCCTGGTCCTCAGTGGTTGATGAAGTCCCCAATAGGAGGCAGGAAGGCACCCACATGGGGCAATTAACTCTGTCAGTCTCACGTCTTCTCTTTGCAATAAACTTAGCGGTCTGGCTAGCCTGCAACCAGATCAGAACTGGGACTAGAGAAGCCTCAATGACTGCATTCCTTAAAAAAAAAAATCCAAACCTTTCTCTCAAAAACCTAAGAGAAAATATTGCCTTTGAATATTGATGTGCCAGCCTTTCGGTTCCTTTGAAAGAAGGGGTGTCCTCATTTGAAGAGATACTTACGTTGACATTTCAGTTTGGAATGACTCCACTTTCCATTGCTTTGACAAGTAGAATAGAAGGAGGTTGAGCCAATATTTCCCTGGAGAATAACAGGCATTAACTGAGCACGAGAGACAAGAGAAATAAGCACCAAAAATGGACTCTATCTCTGGTCCTGGACCTCAGAGGAGTCTTTACCACAAGACGTTTGAAGCCAGAATGGCCCAAAGCATCCGCGACCTAGGGTTTCATGACAATGTCACCTTAGCATCTTGACAAAAAGAGGCTGTCACGCCAACCAGAGAGCTCCGTGATTCACAAGGAAAGACTTATGATCTGGAACCGCTCTGCTTGTGGAAACGTATGACAGCTGACTTGAACCAGGACATCACGTAAACCAATGGACAACTCCACAGGGATGGAGGAGAAGCCTGAAGAATGCTTTACCTGCACCACTTCAAACCCATCCAGGCAGCTTATCTTCACCACATCTTTAAACACGTATTTTGCCTTCGCAGGCTCCCACACAGAATTAGCAAGGATTTCTTTCGGGCATGGGATTGCTTAGAGAGGACACAATTCAAAACAGAAAAATAAACAAATGACTTGGTAGCTGGAAACTCTCCAATCCATTGATAACACTGTCATACTTTCTAAAATCTTTCCATTAGTCTCAATCCCGCTACCTTGGCTCCAATATGGTAGATATATAAAACAATCCGGTATTACCACACCACCCCAAATTGCCCACACTCTCGGGGCTGAAGGGTTACTCGGGTTATAGCACGTGTTGATGCATTTAGATCTTTCTAAGCAGTAGCAAGTGTGAGCAGTCGTGAAACCGCTTGGCATTCCCATTCAGACAGCAGTTTTGATTCTAGGTTGCTCGGGGACATTGGTACCACCCGGAAAAGGATAACTTCTAGGCTACTCACGATCTCCATGGTAACGAAGTTTCCAGCCCTTTCTCTGCACTTCTTGGTCAGTTTGGAAGATGACGTCAAGAACATTCGTCCTGGTTTCAATACTTAATGGCCCAGGGAACCCGTTCCCACAGTAAGGGCCGAATTGCTGATCTCTTGCAACAAACTAAAAGGAAACAAAGTGCCACACTCAGAAGAGAAAGAATGAAAAGAAGGAAGTGTTTTTTTAACGTGAGAGAGTAAAAGTAACCTATAATCGTGGAGGCAAAAAGAAAATACGAGGCAGAAAGAAAGATCGTCTCGTCATCAGGAGAGACTTCTTTGCTCAAGTCAGGGGGAAATGTAACCAACCATCACGCACACTTAAACTGTCCGGGCAGTTCCCCTCCGAATCCATAGATTCCACATCAAAATCTTCCCGCCGCAGAGTTACCACCACTTGGTAGCCTTCCTCCAGTAAGATCTGGTATTCACACCTTGAGTTCTCTGGGTATGGATTGGGATAATTGGGACTGGCAATCTCTCCCATCAGTGTGGTGAACACATCCCCACTGCAATTGACTAAAGGAGAAATGAAGAAAGGGGGATCCACGGTGAGATCAAGCAGAGGGCTTCCCCGCAATCCCTTTCCCCGGAACGGATGGTCCTCCCCTCACACTAGCCTGAAATCCAGACCTGTCAGAGGCCGCATGTAATACTCGGGAGTAGAGACCATCGAATGCCTCTTGGGTCTCTATCACTTTGCCGATGGCAGAATCGTTCAAGGTTAGGAAAGTCCCAAGTGTCTATCTTCTCCGTTTAACAAACTTGACCCTGTACTCTTGTTTTTTTACCTCCTCTTGTGGCTTCCCCTCCGCTAACGTATCGCTTAGATACATAAGATGGGCATACATTTACGTATAGGCATACGTTTATATAAAGGTATCACTATCTAGCTATATCACTTATGTATTTAAGATGCCCAGGCAAGGCTCTAACTGAAATGGAAAGATGGAGCTTGAGCCTTCACCAGGCCTCCAGCCATTCCAAACCCAGGGAAGGGCGTCATTCCGGAAGCCAGGCTCACCTCCACAGCTTCTCATGTCATCGTGGAGGAAGTATTCCGGGGGGCAAGAGCAGTAGTAACCGCCAATAAAGTTGTTGCAAAAATGACTGCAAGGGGCGTCTGTAAAGTCTGTGCACTCGTTTATGTCTAAAAAGAGCAAAGAAAAAATTGAGGTGAAGGACAAACACCTAGAAGAAAGAATGAGTTTAACCCCCAAACTAGGAGGGTAAGACGCAGTGTGAAAGGCTTGTTGCTTAACGAGCCTAAGGAACTATCTTTAGGGTGGTATTTTAATAGAGTGCTCTAATAGAAGAAGGCTCCCGAGTTGTGCTCTATCATTATACAGCTAGAAGGGGGCTCCCAACACCAGGAACCCTTGAACTCTCTTACATACAGAGCATTCCAGCTCCAGAGACAATACCTTACAGATTAAACATGATGGGGATGTCTTGTGCAGGAAGAGACAATTAGCACATCTATTACTTTGTCTGTTGTTGGTCCTCCCATCCAATCTAAACAAAGTGTGGCAGTTACATAATCTCATGTCAATTTGAATGAAGGGATGGGGTCTAGCCTGTCAATCAGGTCATAGCCAATCATGCCTCTGGGTGGGCAGGGCCTTCTCCTGAGGATTCTGGGAACTCCTGTCTTCCTCCCTGGAAGTAGGATACACACTCTCTCTGTGAGACATTCTTGTTGACAAGACACATGGAGCTACGATGATGAGGCCAGAGCCCTGAAACTGGAAGAGCCACGTGGAGACCCATGCAGGCGCTGAGATACTTCCACACCACTGGATCCACAAGACTTTCCACCCGCTGGCCTGTGATCTTCCTGCATTTGACATCATTGCATGGGTTGTGTGTGTCTGGTATTGGACATATGAGTTGATATTGGACTTATGGACTTGATCTGGACTGGCTGGGAAGTTTTCTTATAATACACTTACTCTCTGATATAATGTTCTTTCTTATACACATATGAGTGTCTGAATTTGTTTCTCTAGTCTACCTAGACTAAGACACAAAGCTTAGTTTTTATGAAATGTTCAAACTACATCATAGCCTGGAAATAGATGTAGGTACACATGGAATTTGAAGGTTACAATGTTGTATATTTAATGGTGTGTATAACATATATTATTCATGTGGTTCTTGGAAAATTATTTAATTTTTCTACTCCTCACTGTCCCTACCTTTAAATGGAGACACTCATACCTATTTGGAAGGGTGAAGATTGTGCTGTATGTAAAACTCCTAACGTAACTCCAATATCTAATCATCTCAATTAACTACTATGTATTATGTGGTATGCCATTACCATCACCACTAAGATATCATATATTTGAATTTCACAAAAATAATTTGTGGAGGAACTTATGCCAAATCCACACGGGAAGAACCGTCCGCATTCATGGCACAGCTCTTTGTGTGTTCTAACCGTGTTGCTGGAACAAGAAAGCAGAAACAGACGGCGACCCAGACCTACGGCGACCCAGACCTATGGCGACCCATACCTACGGCCACATAGTAGGCAGCAAATCCAGTGAAATGCTCTTCATTGGAGAAATCTGATTTGAAGATCACCTGGAGTTTATTGTACGGGACTTGGAACTCTTCCACGATGGGGGAGCCGGGATCCTTGCTGGTCCTCTGCCCACAAAGAATCCCTTCTACGTGGCCTGCTGACGTGATCTAAGAGAACGGTCAAAGACACACACAGGAGAGCCTAAGCTTTTGTGAAGGGCGGTGGACATTGCAGGAACCCATCGTGGTGATGGTGGGACAACGTGGCAGACAAAATCAAGGTTACTGAAGCGCACATGTAAAACATAGTTCAATGGCAAAGATTCTGTTCCATACATATTTACCAGAATGAAAAATAAACGAATTAAAGGACCTAAGAAGGAAACAAGGAGAAAATCCAAACCCACTGCCCATTCCAAGTCATAGCAAATCCTACGGAGGGTTTCTGAGACTGTAAGTCGATACAAGAGCAGTCGGGCCTGTCTTTCTCCCGCAGAGCAGCTGGGGGGGTTGAACCACCAAAGTTGCGGTTCATGGCCCAGCACCTAACCCAGAAAGTCAGGGAGAGACAGATGGAGAGGGAGCAGCATTTCCAACATGTGGACTACTCCACTAGCTCCCTGTAGGCCTGGGCACTCCGCCCTACACCCCTCTCATTACAACCTCCGAGCTCGAGTCTTTAAATGCTCATCATGTACCTGCACGTAGTCATAGGCACAGTTTTCTGAGAGTTCTAGATCCAGATGGGTGAAGTAGAGGCGAATCCCGTACCCCTCGGGAACTTCTATATCCCAGGATTTCTCTAGCTCATTGGGATATGTCTGAGGATAGTTCGGGGACAGGATCTCCCCATACATGGTAGGCTCAGCATAAACCCATGACAACAGGGGAAATAGCACAATGAACCTGAAAAAAAAAAAGAGAGAAAGATAGAGGTGGTGACCCTCGTACTTGTGACCTGGTATAAAACTCTAGTGTTGTCATACAACCATGGTTCTCAACCTTCCTAATGCTGCGACCCTTTCATACAGTTCCTCACGTGGTGGTGACCCCCCAACCATAACATTATTTTCCTTGCTACTTCGTCCCTGTCGTTTTGCTAGTTATAAATTGGGCGACCCCTATAAAAGGGTCATTTGACCCCCAGAGGGGTCAAGACCCAGGGGTTGAGAACCAGTGTCATAGGAAGATGGAAGGGGGGAGGAGCAGGGCAGCTAATGGACCGTGGAGAAGAATAAAGCCAAAAGGCCGAGGTCAAGCCAAATGTCTAGGCTTCGGGTCTGAAACGTTGTCTCAAGAAAACGGAGAGAATGACGTCCATGGCCATGCCTGTAGATCCCTGGTCACTTACCACATTGCTGGTGATTTGTCCAACCCGATGAGCAGCACGTCCCTTGGTCCTGGCTCTCTGCACTTGTGGACTTTGTAGCTAAAGACGACAGGGAAGGCCTGGCTGTATTTGTCTAATCAATACAGGCACCTGCTTTGGTGGTGAGGGGTCATCCCCGGTAGTTCAGTGTCACCGTCACAGCACATCGGTTCAGCAGAACCCTCTCACTATGAACTACCGTGGGCGGCACGTATCCTCTCACCCCTTCCCCGGTCCTCCTTCCATTACACTTTGGACTACAATGAGAGCTTGACCCTCTCCCCCTGCTTCTCTGGACATTCTCCCAATCTCTCTCTCTCTGCTTTTCAAGGATACGAGGGCTTTCTCTCAGCTTTCTACGTCCTTGCTTTTCGACTCAGTGTTCTCCACCTCCACGCTGCCAGCCTCTTTCCTACCCTCACGAGGCAATGTCCCCCTTTCTACCCTGAGTTCGAGGAGGTTTTGCCCAGCCTCACCAGCCATCACCCTCTCTCTTGAGAATGAGTCCCCATGTCACTTCAGACAAAGTCTCCTTGCCACATGTGCTGTGGCATGTGGTTCTGGGCTGCTCTTGTGGCAACGGATGGAGGCAGCAGCTTCCTTCGCAGGGGAAGGCTCCGGCCTGGGGACCAAGGGGATGAAAGCAGAAGTCCTGCCTCCGGTGAGACACATTTCCATGGGGAAAGAAAAGGGGAGCCGCTGAGTGGCAAGAGGCACAAAAGGAAGCAAAAGATACTATCTCAATCCCCTACCGGGATTGTCCAGGTTTGTTTTGGTTTGTGTGTGTGTGTGTGTGTGTGTGTGTGTGTGTGTGTGTGTGTGTGTTGGGATTTTTTGGTTTTGTTTTGATTTTCCCTCTTTACTAAAGGCAATGAAGATCTTCCCACCAGTCCTAGAAAAATCTTGCCCAACGTATTTTTAACCCAGAAAACAGAGGTAGGCAGTGGGGTGATGTGGAAGTGAGTGGGGTCAACCGAAGAGAAATAGCTTCTCTTTGTCCTGTATCCTTTTATCCTGACAACTTGACCCCAACTTTTCCTGATTTTTATTTTTACTTTCTTGGCTCCTCACCTGCCTATCTTTGCCCCAAACCTTCCTACCCAGGATTTTCTGCCTCTCTTTTTCCTCCATTAAAGCCCTGGCTCTTTTTATTTCTTTCTTTGAATGAGGTTATTTTTTACCTTCAGAAGCTGATGGGAATAAGTGGGCCAGTGGTCATGCTCTCGGAGAGCAGCCCCCGGGTGTGGACGATCCCTCTGCAAGCACCTCCGCTGGCCTCCTTGTTCTGGTTCTGGGCAGATGAGTCTCGACCGAGTGGGCTTGTCTGAAATTCCCTGACTTACACAAAGAGGGGGCTGGGAGACCAGGACTTAGGAAAAGAGCAACTCAGTCATGATATTGGAGCTCCCTCTGCTTTTGAAACAAGAACTGCAGCCTCTTCCTTGACTTGGGAGTCCGCTATCCAGGCTACAGGAGAAATGAGGAATTTCACGGATTGCCCAACACTCTTTTTCAGCCAGAGGGTGTGTTACAAAGTTTTCGGGGAAGTCAGGTGATTTTTGAGAAAAGGCGGGGATTGATAACACGGGGAAGAAGCCAAGTCAAAAAGTTCAACCTTCCAGCTATGTGTGAATCACGATTTAAAGGAGATGAGTGATCAGGACATAGCTCAAACAAATGGAAGAAATTATGAAGTAAAAGAGCTGAACAGAAGATTTCAAAGGACAGCTCGAGAAGACAAAGCCAAGTTATTATCATGAAACGTGTAAAAACCTATAGTCAGGAAGATCCAAAGGAAAGAACCCGCTTGGCAGATATCCCGAGCTGAAAGAATAGAAGAAAAAGAAAAGTAGTTCTGTTTTTTAAACTATTTAAATTTTAAAAAAGGAATGAAAGAGAAAAATCAAGCCTCGTGTGGCAATAGTGAAGTTTGGGGTTGTACTTTTAACATCGTCAAAGATTTCATTTCACTCGGATCCACGATCAATGTCCACAGAAGCAGCAGTTAAAAATTTCAGATGACAAATTGCATTGGGCAAATTTGCTGCACAAAGACTCTTTAAAGTATTAAGAAGCAAGCCGTCGTCCCTTTGAAGGCTCAGGGGCATCTGACCCAAGCCATGACTGTGGTATTTTCAGTCATCCCAGATGCAGGCGAAAGCTAGACAATGGATGAGGGAGCCTCGAGATTGGCTGGTTGGAATGATGGGTTGACAAAGAACATCGAAAAGACCCTGGACTGTTCGAACCCCACAGCGGCTCCTCGGGCTTCTGCTATCTGCTCCCGTAACAACTGACAGCCTAGAAACCCTATGGACAGTTCTCCTCTGAGTTGCCGTGAGTCAAAATCAGGTTGACGGCAGTGGGTTAGGTTTAGTGTTTGGTTTGGTCAAAGGAACAAACAAATCTGTCTTGGAGGAAGTCCAACCAGAATGCTCCTTGGAAGCGAGGATGGAGAGACTTTGTCTCACGTACTTTGGACATGCTATTTATTAGAAGGCACCACGTCCTGAAGAAGAGCATCCCGCTTGGTAGAAGTTTGGCAAAAAGAGAAGAAAACCCTCATCAAGATGGACGGACACATTGGCTGCAACAATGGACGCGAGCCAAATGATGGTGAGGACGGCGCAGGACCGCGCAGTGTTTGCGTCTGTTGTGTGCAGGTCACTGAGTCAGAACCTACTTTATGGCACCTGCCAATTCTGCCCTCGAGGAGGTGGAGCCTAACGTCCCACTCTTTCAGCGTGGGCTTTGCTGAACGCGCTTAATAACAGAGAAAGGGGCAGGGGAAATAACTTCACACTAAAGAACCCTGGTAGGGTTATCCCAGCCAGGTGATCAAGGTTGATCTGACCAATGAGAGGTGTACTAGAGCTTAAATGCTGAGCACTAGGTTGGGGCCCTTGTCCATTTCTAAGTCTCCACATCGATTCTGCCTCCCTTGAGTTCTTTCTGACCTTTGGCCAGCAGTGCGCAAAACTTCACTCTCTAGCAGAATGTGTTTGAAAGTGGATTGCGACCCCTCTCCTCATCGGTCCCGAGAGGGGCAGCCTCACCCTCAATAGACTTGCCTGGGTGACCCTAGAGGGGAATCTGGTTTCTAGGAGCCATGCTGGTGGAGTGGGTGACATGCTGGGCTGCCAACCAAAAGGTCAGCAGTTCCAATTCACCTGTCACTCTGAGGGACAAAGATGAGGTTGTCTGCTCCTGCGAAGATGTATAGTCTCGGAAACCCAGAGGGACAATGCTACTCTGTCCTACAAGGTTGCTCTGAATCAAGATCCATTCGGTGGCAACCTATTAGGGTCACACAGTCACAAGTCATACCCAGACTGCCTTGGAGCAATCTTGTAAGCTTTTCTCATCCGCATTTGAGTATACATCCCAATCACGATCCCTTACCCACAATCGGGATGAAGTGGACTGCCGAAGATCAGGGTTTCATGGCAGCTTCCTTTGCTCTCCAATCTAAGTGGCCACGTGTGTGTGACTCCTCAAACACCATTGGAACCTGGTGCTGATGGTCTCCTGCGTCCAATGACTTGTCTTTGTCTTGTCTTGGTCCCGTTTCAACAACAACAACAAAAATAACCCACTGCTATCAAACAGCTTCTGCGTGTTAGCAGCCCAGTAGCACAGGGCAGAACGGCCTCTGTGAGTCTCTAACACTGTAACTCTTCATGAGAGGGGATGGTCCCATCTTTCTTTCACGGAGCAGCTGACCTTGCAACTAGCAGCCCGACACATAATAATTGTGTCTCTATAAATTATATTTGAAGGTGGTGAATCCTTTTCGCCCAAAAAATGGGTCATGTTGATAGCATATACCCTTGATGTGATGTGACAGAAAATGGCAGTCGCCCTCTATGGTCTTTCTCTGAAAGGCCCGTAACTCCGGTCTAAGCAAGAGAAGAAGAGAACAATCACACACGTCCAATTGATGGGAAATTCTACAAAGTTCCAGAGCAGTTTTCCTCAAAACTGTCAAGGTCATCAAAAACAAAGGAAGTCTGAGAAACTGTCGCAACCAAAAGGAGCCTAGGGAGACATGCCATCTATTCGTATCGTGGTATCTGGAACAGAGGCACAAGACTGGGTTAAAACCAAGAGGAAACATTAATTTTGCATTCAGTATTTAACATGTGGAAGCCTCCTATGCAAACCTTCTTAATCCACACTGTCTCTCCTTGGGCTCCCAGGGCTACACTGGTTGGTGTCCCAGTTACCTGGTGCCACTGTAACACAGTTACTACAAGTAGCTGACTTTAAAGAACAGAAATTTGTCTTCGTACAGCATGGGAAGCTGAGAACCAATCAGAGCCTTGGCTATGCCAATTCCTTCCGTGTTAGTGACCCTGGTATGTTAGTGACCCTGGTGAGAAACAAATCCTAGGACACTCATATGTGTGTAAGAGAGAGTTTTCTATCAAGAAGCAATTGTATACTGAGAAAACAACCCAGCGCAGTCTGAATCAAGTCCACAAGTCTCACCTTAGTCCATATGTCCGATACCTGTCCATAAATTCTTTTTCAGACTCACGCAGCACATGCAGTGATGCTGAATGCAAGAAGATCACAGGCTGGTGAGAGAGAAGTCTTGTGAATCCAAGGCCAATGGAAGCATCTCGGCGCTGGCGCAGTCTCCATGTGCCTCTTCCTGCTCTCTGAGTGTGTCTCCTGAACAGGAAGGTGCAGCAGAGAGAGAGTGTGTGGCCCACCTCCAGGGAGAAAGAGAGGAAGTTCCCAGAATCCTCATGAGAAGGCCACTCCCATAGGGAGGCATCATCAGGCTGTGACCTGATTGAAAGCTAGGCTCCACCCCTAGA